TTGCAAAAGTCAGGGGGTCGTCTTATACGCCAGAAAATACGCTAGTTTGTTGGTTCGCCTTGAATTTAATGGGATAATTAATCTCAGTAATACGCCCTAGTAACTTAATTAAGACGTTCTAAAAAGCCAGCATATAGGAGAATTACCTTTTCTATGTGTAACTAATAATCATAATCAGCATTTTTTTTAAATCCATCCTTGTAGGATAGATTGAAACTGTCTAGTTGCCTACCGTGACCCCTTGAGTAAGATGTTCTTCGATTCTGGCAATGCATCGTCTTCCAAGGGATTCATTTTCCTGCATCTCCATGGCCGCATCGTTCACGTTATGCTTGTCCATTCTTCGTTCCCTCGCGATTTTAGAGTTCTGCTCTTCGCTGTCAGCTTCACTAACTAGCTCCATTGGACTTCTGGGGAGCACGAAGCTCGCCATACCACCAGCTAATAGGATAGAAATCCAAGCCATCCCACCCAGCAGCATCAAATGGGAGCAGGCTGCAGCGATGGCCAGTATTTTTAGGAGGCTAAAAAAGATGGCTGAGGCATCTGCACAACCCGAAAGAAGGCCAAGCATGAAGCTACGCCAGCGTGGAAAGAGTAGGATGATGTGCATGTCGCAGGTGAAAAAGGTCAGTCCACCGAGAGCCACAAAAATGCCAGCTGGGAAGAGCAGCCAAGCGAGCCCAGGGAAAGTAGAATTGGGATAGGTAGGGGTGGCAAGCCCGAAGAGGAGGAGACCGGCAGCTGAGAAGAGACCACCTACCATCCGAGTCCAGCGAAGGCCAACCCGGTCCACAAACCACCCGAGTACGGGCATCAGCAGATTCTGACCAGAAAACCAGATAGCAATAGCGCAGCTGATTGTCTCTAGTTGAGCAGGACAGCCTGAGGCAACAAGAAAGTCAAGTCGATTGTCATTGTCAGGATTACGCACCGTGTAGTGGTTATCGTTTGCAGGCACATGCGAGAAGTGAGAATTTGATCCTGAATTAGCAGGTATAAGAGGATGGCCAAAAAATGAAAAGTCATTCGTTATCTGAAGGAGCACATTTTATCATGTAAAAACAATACAGAAACGTTAGATTTTGTTTATAAGCAGAGTAATGAGATGTATTCACCCTATTTCGTCTAAGGTGATGAAGGACTGGTAATAGAATTTTCCCACAATGATATGAGTTGAGCTGACGTTTCCATTGAATTTTTACCCAAAAGTTGTTCTCATCCTGGGTGGACTGCAGTTTCGACCTCGCATCGGGCTTATCAACACCCTCAGCGGGATTCGAACCGCGACAGGGCAGGATGGTAGCTTGGCACGCTAACCACTCGGCTACACTGCCACGAGTACCCTTGAGTTACAGGGCATAAGCGAATTTTAAGGAAGGCCAGACATCTTGTCATATCATATTCTTTGGTAGGAGTGCCGATGAAGCAAACGTATGTTTGCTATAGCAATCGACAACGTTACTTATATTCGTATATATATTCGTACTCTTATACGAATATAAATAACGTTGTCGATTGCTATAGCAAACATACGTTTGCTTCATCGGCACTCCTACCAAGGAATATGATATGGCAAGATGCCTGGCCTTCCTTGAAATTCACTTATGCCCTGTGACTCAAGAGTACTCGTGGCAGTGTAGCCGAGTGGTTA